TGGAGCCGCTGGTCCCGGAGCTGCATGTACTAGACGTACTGGAGCTGCTGGGGCTGGTGGTGTTGTAGGAGTTGGAGCTGGAGGTCCTGGAGCTGCTGGAGCTGGGGGTGCTGCTGGGGGTGGTGCTGCTGGCGTTGGAGCTGGAGACCCTGGCGCTGGGGGTCCTGGTGCTGTCTCTGCTGTCTCTGGAGGCGCTGTGCGGCCGCGGCCGTACTTCGCTCCACTCCTTCTGCAGGCTTGGTCTCCCGCCTTCTACTGGTCCTACTCCTCCCTTACTGTGTCCACCGCCTGACCAGTCGCAGTCGCAGTTACAGCCAGCCTCCCCACTGCCTGGTCCTCCTCCTTACACTAGACCGACCGGTGGCCTTACAGAGCGTCGTGAGCCCGAGTCTCGTCTTGCGTCGCCTGTTCGCGCTGCTCGCACTGGTCGTCGTGTTCCGCGTCCACGTCCTCCTCCTGTCCTCGGCACGCACCAGATGGCACTTCGTCCTTCCTTTGTTCCACTGCGTGTCCCTCTGCCGTCTCCTCCTGTGTCCTCCCTTGCTGACGGTCCGGACCCGGAGCCTGACTCCCTTTGTGATGCTAGTCCTACTGTCACGCGTCTCCTGGCCACTATTGTTACTGACCCCTCCTTTGAGTCTACTGCTGCGTCTGCCCTAGTTGCTGAGCTGGTTGACTTTGCTGCCGCCTGTCGTCTAGACTACGCCGCTAGTCTTGTTGCTGAGTCAGGGTCTGTCTGTCCTCCGTCCGTCGGGGGTGAGTGTGCTCTTGGCACGGACGTCCTTGAGGACAGGCAGGAGGAGTTTGAGTGCTTTGCCGCTGCTTTACCTCATCTCGTGTCCATGCTGATTGCACCTGAGGGAGACCCGGATGCACCAGACATCCCGACCCCACGGTCTTACGCAGAGGCGATAGAGGGTACCTACTCCTCTCAGTGGCAGACAGCCATGGACGCAGAGATGGCTTCCTGGAAGTCCACAGGCACCTACGTCGACGAGGTTCCCCCACCTGGGGCGAACATCGTCAGTGGCATGTGGATTTTCACGGTGAAGCCGCCGCCGGGTTCTCCGCCTGTCTTCAAGGCGCGTTATGTTGCACGAGGCTTCAGTCAGCGAGAGGGAGTTGACTTCTTCCAGACCTTCTCCCCTACCCCGAAGATGACCACTCTTCGGGTTCTGCTGCACGTCGCCGCTCAGCGTGACTACGAGCTTCACTCTCTTGACTCCAGCACTGCTTTCCTGCAGGGCAGCCAGCACGAGGAGATCTGGCTGCGCCGCCCACCTGGCTTCACTGGGTCGTTTCCTGTAGGTACCCAGTGGAGCCTTCGGCGGCCAGTCTACGGTCTCCGCCAGGCGCCTCGCGAGTGGCACGACACACTGAGGACGACTCTTGCGGCTCTTGGCTTTGCTCCTTCCTCTGCTGACCCGTCGCTGTTTCTACGCACTGACACCTCTCTGCCGCCGTTCTACGTCCTCGTGTACGTCGACGACTTGGTCTTTGCTACTTCTGACACTAAGGGACTCGCCCACGTGAAGTCAGAGCTGCAGAAGAGACACACGTGCACAGACCTGGGTGAGCTGCGCAGCTATCTTGGCTTGCGGATCACCCAGGACAGAGCACAACGCACCATTACTTTGACTTAGTCACACATGGTGCAGCAGGTCCTTCAGCGCTTCGGTTTCACGCACTCCTCGCCACAGCCCACTCCTCTGCCTACTCGCCACTCGCTCTCAGCTCTGCCTTCGGATGAGTCCGTAGAGCCGAGTGGCCCGTATCCAGAGCTTGTGGGCTGCCTGATGTACCTGATGACCTGCACTCGACCTGACCTGGCATACCCTCTCAGCATCCCGGCACGCTATGTTGCTCCTGGTCGACACCGGAAGGAGCACATGGATGCCGCTAAGAGGGTGTTGCGCTACTTGTGCAGTACGTCGGGCATGGGGCTCGTGCTTGGAGGACGGGCTCGAGTTGTCCTCACTGGTCACGCAGACGCTTCCTTGGCTAACGACTTGGCTACGCAGCGGTCGTCACAGGGTTACACTTTCAGCCTTGGCTCCGGCTCTGTTTCGTCACAATCTACCCACTCGTCTTCTGTTCTCAGCTCCAGCTGTGAGGCTGAGATCTACGCAGGGGCCATGGCTGCACAGGAGTTACGCTGGCTCACCTACCTACTGACCGACCTGGGAGAGCCGCCTCGTTCTCCTCCAGTGCTGTACGTCGACAACAAGGCCATGATTGCCTTGTGTCAAGAGCACAGACTGGAGCACAGAACGAAGCACATCGCTCTGCGTTACTTCCTTGCTCGAGAGTTGCAGCAACGTGGTCAGCTTCGTCTTGCTTACGTGGCCTCTCAGGCCAACACTGCTGATATCTTCACCAAGGCACTTCAGCCTTGTGATCATCAACGTTTCTGTACTGTTCTAGGCCTTGTGCCCACTGGGCCTCACTTGCTTACTTCTTGACTTTGCTTGTACTATGATCTTTATACATATACCTGCATGCTTACACTTGCTAGGTTGTGATCACTGTATTGTTTGTTCGCCTTTATATAACTCTGCATGTGAACTGGCCTTGTGGCCATTTGCTTGTGCTCAGAATGTGTGGTGACTTCGTGATCCACCCTGAGCTTGCTTTGCTTTTCTTGACTGGTCTTGTGACCTCTTGTTCTCCCCCACTTTGCCTATGGGGGTATGTCAAACTTATATGACATAGTCTGTGTAGGCTGTAGTGGGGTAGACAATATGGGGTACAACACTTTCAGGTTTTCATACTTGTACCCACCTGCTTGCTAGTTCGATCATTCCTCGTTCTGTTCTTCACACACTTTATTGTCATGGTCGGCAGTCAAAATGGGCTGGTGGTTCAACTGCGCATGCGAGTTCCGCATCGTGTCATGTGTCATTGCCTTGCTCACCGGTGAGGTTTAATGCTCTTTTTGTTTTGCAGTTTCTTATCAGATATATCACCCGATACTCACTTGTTTTTTTTCATCCCCTTACAGAGAGGCTCTCGCATCCAAGGATGTCGCGACGAACATCCCCGCCCTTCAACGTCGTCGACTAAGGGATCCGCGCCATTGCGACCCTCATCAGCGGAAGCTGCGTCGTCCACCAGAGGTTCCACGAGCTGCAAACCGTGATTGACGCCACAAACTTGGAGATGCAGGGGATTTTGAAGTTTGCTGGCTGTCGCGTGGCGATGCTGTTGCGCGACTTGTCGCGGTTCTGCCTGCAGCCATAGTCCTACTCCACAAGAAAGACAACACGACGTATCACCTGGTTACGAGCTTCAAATTTCATCTATCTTTTATTTCTCGCTGATGTCCTGGAGGAATTGAACGAGCTTAACAAGCGGTTTCAGCGATGATCAGTGAGCGTGTAACTTTTCGTTCCCGATTTTGAAAGTCGCTCATGTCCCGATAGTCAATTAATAACATTGTTTGTGTTCGTGATGTCGCAGGTGGACATCACCCGAGTCATGGGGCAGGTGCAAAACACCTCAGTGAACTTCGCGGAGGACAACGAGCACCTCAGTGCCTTCCTCGAAGCGCACACCCATCCGTCCAAGCGAGTGATCAAGGTGGTGGGGATGGATGGAGACGGCAACGCCGTCACCCACACCTTCAAGCTGCACGAGCAGGATGAGAAAGGGAAAGAGGATGCTACAGGCGACGATGAATCCTGCGTGACACTCGCCACCCTGTTTGCGAAGGAGGTGGACGGCAGGCTTCTGTTCCGCATGCGAAGCTTGAACTCCCTCGTTGGGTCCAAGCTATTCTGCTAGACGCCTATCCGGAGGGCGTGGCCAAGCGCGACCGTCTGTGCGCAGAGTGCTCTGCCAGGTACGGGCTGTTCCCAAAATCCGCGTTATTCCTAATCCCTTGTTTGTGCAACGATCCATGCTAACTATGTGTGATGTGTGTGCTTGCAGGACTCAATTGGAAGAAGGCCGAGCGGGAGCTTCCACGTTTCACCCGCGTGATGGTGTCGCAATACAAGGACCAAGCCTTCCACGTGGCACTAAAGAACATGCTGAGGAGCGGGGATTGGGAGTCTTCTTTCCCCAATCTGGTTCGACTTTGGGTGGTAGTGGCTGTTCTTCCGCTCAGCACTGTGGAGTGCGAGCGAGGCTTCAGTCGCCAAAACGTCATCAAGTCGTGGCTCAGGAGCAACCTGTGCGATGCGCGACTCTCGGACCTCATGTGCATCTCCCTGCTTCAGTACGAACCAGACTGGGACGACGTGGTGAAGCTGTGGCGCGGGGCAAGGAAGAGGCGCCCCGCAAAGAAGTCAGTGGAGTGGCAAAGGCGAAGCGCAGGGTGGCAGAGACCGAAGAGGCAGGGAGGCTGGGAGGCTCTAGCACCTGGCACTGCAGCTGAGAAGGCGCCGGCCGATGACGGAGAAGCCAAGAGGAGGAAGTGCGCCAAAACTTCCGTAGTAGTTAGCGACAGTGAGGATGGAGTGGATGTGCGTGCGACTGTTGCACTGAGTGACAATGATGCATCTGACCCTAACTCAGATAGATGGTTATTCTTGCGATCTTTTCTATGTAGAGAAGAGCTGTTGTAGTTGATTTAGTTTCAGTAGGGACGTCTTGCAATATCTGATTTATAAGTCAAGTTATGCTTGAATTTCTGATGCGTAAGACAGGGGATGGAATTTTTTCTGATGAGTCAGACGGGCCATGCCGGCTCAGGGGGGTTCAGAGACTAGCGAGGGCCCTGTCGGCTCCAAAGCTAGGATTGTTGGAATAATTCTGTCGTGTAAGCAAGCACCCATTTCTTTGCCATATACGTTGTACAAAAAACAGAGTACAAGGTATAAAAAACAAAGGCCTAAAGCCACATACAGGAGAGGATCATCCAAGAGAACCACTTTTTTGATGCAGCATCCACAAAAAAAGAATCCGAAATGAAATTGCTACCGAGGTCAACTATTTGACACGATGGCTGCCAACTGGGGCTCTGTTGGACATGGACGCACGTGCCGGCGGAGAGGTGCTTACCCATAGGAAGCAGCCACACAAAGCTGCAATCAAGCATGCACCAATTGGGAAGCATTGGAAATGTTAATTGCCACAGCACATGTAGCCAATGCAGTGCGATGTAAGCAATTAGATCAGTCCACCCCTCACAATAATGCAGCTAAAGATGTGCCCAAACTTACACTACCCTTGTTGCTCTGGGAATCGCGGAAGGAGATCCAGGGGTTGAGCCTGCAGAGGTCCACCATGGTGACTCCATTGGATGCCGCCACCTGCTTGAAGTCCACCACTCGGCCGAGATCCTTCACCTTCACACATTTCGGCCTGGCCTTGGATGGGTTGCGCTCCACACACAGGGAGCGGAAGGCAAGGAGGCGAGAGGAGCAGCTAACACTGGGGTTGAGTTGCTGCAGGCTCTTCTCGGTGATGTTGAGAAACTGAGCCACGGACGAGCATGTGTCGGCCTGTGGAAGCAGAATGGAAGGGGAAAATAGAAGAGAGGGGGGTTGAAGGAAGGAGGCGGACTACAGGGGTGAATGCGCACGAAGGGGTAGTGCAACGTAATGTTTGGAGCGTTTGAGAGAAAGGGGACGGGGGGGGAGGGGGAAGGGGGGGGGGTGGGGGGGGTAGAAGGTCTTCATGTTGCTTGGGCGAAGGATGGGGAGTTGTAAGGTGCATGGGGACATTGCTGAACACATGGCAGCACATGGCAGCACATGGCAGTACATGGCAGCACATGGCAGCACATGGCAGCACATGGCAGCACATGACAGCACATGGCAGCACATGGCAGCACATGGCAGCATATGACAGACCATGGTGCTACTGGTAGCATCCCCGTTATCCGATCCAACTATGAAGCATGGGATGCTCCCATAGCAGGAGCAACATGCCAAACTCACAGGCTGGACGTAGTAGAAGGCAGAACAATTTGACAGAAGCTCTTTCACCACGAGGTTGCGACCCTTAGGAAGGAGAGCAGAGCAGTTGATACCCTGGAGGGGAGGGTGAGTGAGAGGGGGAGAGGGTAAGGGAGAGGGGGCAGTGGATCAGATGGAGAAAGAGAGGATGAGAGATGAAGAGGGTGAGTGAGAGTTGAATGGAAAGAGAGGGGAGGCAGTGAGAGAGGCGGAAGGGGTAGGAGAGGGGGTGAGCAAGAGAGGGCGCAGAAACAAGAATGGCTCGAAATGCCCAATAAGTGAACAGTATTGCAGGAACTGGGATAGTCGACGGAACAGGGCTCACTGGGTTCATGGCGGTGAACCACTCCAGTAATAAAGGCACCCAGGCGTGCAACAACTGAGAACATGTTTGGCGCAGCATGTGGCAGGGCTCACCGGGTTCATGGCGGTGAACTGCTGCAGCGTGAGGCCATACACGGTGTACACGTCCTTGCACCTCCAGTCGCTGCCTGTGACTGTGATGGACGAAACAGCCTCCCAATTCTGACCTGCACACGCTCATTGGGGAAAGTGAGGGTACCAGGTACGTGGTCAGGTACTGATGATAAGGGTGCACCATGGACGGTCCCAGCATCACACATTTAATCCGAGGAAACACACATAGGGTGAAGATGCTGCGTACGTGGGCACCTACCGATGATAAGGGTGCACCATAGTCGGTCACAGCATCACACATAACATAAAAACACACCTTTCCAACGTGTAAGCATATGCTTGCAGCACCAAAAAAATATTTTTTATGAGCCAGTGGCCTATTTGTAACTTAGGTTGTATGGAGCATTGCCAGCAGTGAGGGGGCGTACCACATTTTCGGCCCTGAGGGCGGTGGTTGGGCAGACAGACGCAGGTTCTGTCCTGGGTGCCGCGGTTGATGCACGTGCCGCCCATACATGGGTTGACTCTGTCATTGCCACACTCGCCCGCTGGCAGGGCACACACAAGGAGCAGAGGAGGGCAGGCAGTCGAGTGGCAAGGAGGATACAATTGGGGGATCCGTGCGGCAGGAAAGAAAGGGCAGAGAAGGCGAGGAGCATCGCTGCTACCAATACTGAAATGCTTTGATAATGCAATCGTGCTTCCAAGGGACGCAAGCGATACCAGCTCCCAAAATTGATTTTGGTAACCAGATTGATTTTTGGTACTCCCTCGTGTGGGAACCAGATTGAATTTGGTAGGTATGGATGGTGGGATGGAGAAAACCTGCATTGGGGCTTACTGCTTGGGCTCTGTGCATCGGGGTACTCAGAAGGAGCTGCGGTGTTGCTGGCAGGAGCTGTGGTGTTGCTGGCAGGAGCTGTGGTGTTGCTGGCAGGAGCTGTGGTGTTGCTGGCAGGAGCTGTGGTGTTGCTGGCAGGAGCTGTGGTGTTGCTGGCAGGAGCTGTGGTGTTGCTGGAAGGAGCTGTGGTGCTGCTGGCAGGAGCTGAGTTGTTGTCGTCAGGAGCTGAGGTGTTGTCATCAGGAGGTGAGGTGTTGTCGTCAGGAGGTGAGGTGTTGTCGTCGGGAGCTGCGGTGTTGTCATCGGGAGCTGCAGTGTTGTCATCGGGAGCTGCTGTGTTGTCATCTGGATGTGAGGTGTTGTCATCGGGAGCTGCGGTGTTGTCATCGGGAGGTGAGGTGTTGTCGTCAGGAGCTGCAGTGTTGTCATCGGGAGCTGCTGTGTTGTCATCGGGAGGTGAGGTGTTGTCGTCAGGAGCTGCGGTGTTGTCATCGGGAGGTGAGGTGTTGTTGTCAGGAGCTGCAGTGTTGTCATCGGGAGCTGCTGTGTTGTCATCGGGAGGTGAGGTGTTGTCGTCGGGAGCTGCGGTGTTGTCATCGGGTGGTGAGGTGTTGTCATCGGGAGCCGCGGTGTTGCTGCCAAGTGCTGCTGTTCGGGTGACGCAGCGGGCGGACTTCACTGCCAGGGGCAGCTTGTATCTGGGCAGGGCACGGGGAGGGCAGCGTGAGTGCAAAGAAGGGTTGTTGGTGAGGCGGGGGGTGAGGAAGCGGCACTGAGTGCATCAAAACAGAAAAGAGAACCGAACGCTCACCTCTGCATGCCTCGCGTGAGAGTGCCCATTGCCTCTCCGGTGCACCTAGATTTCCGGAAGAACTGGATCGTCTTGCAAGTAACCTGGCCACCCTGCTGCCACGACACCTGCACCTCTCTCCCCCCACCAGCGACAGCCTTCCTGTCGGCTGCTGGAATGGCGACACAGCGGCGGAGCGGGTAGAAGGTGAAAGGGCGGTTGCTGATCGTCATCAGCGTGCCCACCAGCGGCTTCTGGGCTCCCACGCCCTCCAGGTGACCCGCTGCGAGAATGGGAGCACGTGAGAGGCGAGAGTGTTGCACGAGTGTGAGAATGGGCACGTGTCGGGCACGGGGCCAGGGCGTGTGCCTCGGCCGCCAAAGTCGGCCCGACTTGGCTTGGGGTTCTGCCAAGCCATCGTCCGAAGCTGAAAGGTACTGGTGTGGTGCTGCGGTTCGGGTCCATTCTCGCGCGAGGTGTGTATTGAATATGGTGTGAGCATGAGCGCGCATGTTGCGAGCATGGGTGCATGATGAGCGCATGAGCGCGCACGATACGTACCAGCGACGATGACGACCATGACGGCGAGCAGCGCAAGCGCGGCCTTGCCCTTCCCCATGCTGCTGCCGCCGGACGCTACTAGTTGTCTCTTCGCCCTTGAGCGGCCGTCACACGAGGTCGAGCACACGCGGATGGGCTGCAGCGGAGAAGGCAGTTGGGATCAATAGCACTGATAGCGCGGACGAGGATGGCCGGCAGCAGCGGGACTCGCAGACGGCGGAGGTGCAGCGTGACAAGCCTCAATCACATGGGCAGCGCCGAAAAACGGGTGGAAGAAGAGTTACAGACACGGGGGCGTTGGTGCAAACTGGTGCACAGTCGAGAGATTCTCTGGTCGAACGAAAGCCCATGCTAACTATAAGGCCATCAGCGATCGCAGTGTGAGTGGCACTCATGAGCAAAGCGGGACCTCGCCGTGGGCACTGCGAAACCTGTCACGGTGACGGGGAGATGCGCACCTACTGGCGCGCGACCCCTTAGCCGTGGGCATTGCTGCGGAAGTCGGCGCAGAGAAATGCGCATTCTGAGAAACGCGTTTCAGAAACGCGTTACCGTGGCTTCTATTGGGTGTCCGTATGCTGCGTGCAGACGCAACAACGGGTATTGGTTGGATTGAAATGGATCGCGTCTGAGAGCTTAGAGAGCAGAGTGGGTCCAGCGTATTTGCCCCTTCTTCCTTGTGTGCGGGTACTCTCTCGTTAATCGTGATAACCGCTGTGCACCATCTGAAATCGTATTGCGCCACGACGATGAAGTGTACGCGCTGGACTTGCTGTTAGGTTCTGTCATTATTTCGTTGACTTAGAGAGGTTTACTCTGGTCCGCGATGGTCTAGAGTGGTGAAAAATGAAGTACCACTCCTGAACGTGGTTGACCGTATCAAACCGAGCCCTGAACGAGACAGGTGTGACTGGTCTTATTGGCAGCGAAGTCGAAGGAAAGCTGACAGCGTACAAGGCGGGGGCGGAATATTTCGCCCTAAAGTAACAGCCTGAGGACACGTCCCCTCTAGCGGATCGATCCTGCGTGAAAGGAGCATCAGCATGGGTGTATGTGTGCTTCGGGTCTGGTGCGAGGGGGAGTGTTGGAGAATCGAGTTTCTGCCGCCCCAGCCCTTTGCACACAAGCAGCAGCAAGGGGGAATGTCGGCGATGAATCAGAGCTTCGGGAAGTACTTCGAAAGTTCCACCACCAATCAGATTTCAGCCGAAGACTCGATATAGTTCAAAGCTGCCTTCAAACCGAAGTGTTGGCAGTTTCTACAGGTTTCTACACATCAGAATCAGCTATAACAGAAATATCCAGAGTTTTCTTATTCATGCACCTCATGTGGCACTCAAAGTCACTCAAGGTCCATCCAATCTAGATTGTGCCCAAGTTACCAGGGAAGTTACATTGTCTATCAGCCTAGTTTGAGCTTTCAATCTGTCTTGTTTGTGATGCCTAGAGTTGTGCTTTAGTGGGCTTGTTAATCTTGAACATAGTGAAGTTTTACCTCATCCAGTCAATTCCAGCAGCCCTGCTAAGACTTTCCAGCCAAGTTTCCAGCCCTCCAGTAGTCACAGCTACTCTGTTTTACAAGTTGGTATCAGAGCTTGTCGTTTCGATCAACCTAGCCCACCACGTTCCTATCCTAGCACCATACGAACATGGCGGGAGACAATCCATCTGGTCCTGCACTCCAGCCAGCCGGAGGAGCTTCAGAGTCAACATCAGCAGCTACTGGATTAGTGGAAGCAGTTGCACCAGGCAGTCCTTCAACAACATACTCACCACTCACCTCCTTCATGCCTAAGCTTCACCTCCCCAAGTTCAACGGCAAAGATTTTCCAACATGGGCAACTCAGTTTGAGCTCACTGCATCCCTTCTGGATCTGTGGCCTTACTACACTGGAGAAGCAGCCAAACCAGCAGCAGATGCTTCAGAAGCTGAAAAACGACTTTACGAACGACGCAACGAGGAGGCCTTCCTCTACCTACTCAATAGCATTCACGAGCAGCAGTTGAAGTCGCTCCTGCCCTGTTCTACCAAGGCAAACAGTGCAGAGGAAGCATGGAGCCGACTGAAGACTATGCACCAGTCAAAATCCGAGAGCAGCCAAGCCGAGATGTGGAGCCGCTTCATGAATCTGAAGATGGAAGAAGATGAATCAGCACAAGCCTACCTACAACGAGCTGAAGCAATGCTGGAGGAAGCAGCAGCGATCGGCTTGGAGATTCCAAAGTCTCTTTTCAAGACCGTCATCCTCACCGGCCTTACACCGGAGTGGGACACTTTCCGTGCAACACTACAAGCGCTCCCGCAGTCAATGAAGAGTCGTGCGTTCATCTTTGAGGCCCTTGTCAACGAGCAGCAGAGTCGAGACCTTGCACGGAACAAGCGGAGTGACGAAGGTGCGTGGAGTGCTGCAGCAGCCACAAGATATGGCAACCAATTCCAGAGGCAAGGAAATTTCAGCCCAAACCGCCCTCAACCCTACTACGGTACGAAATTTCAGTCACCTTCCAACCCATACAAACCCTCTCGTTTTCCTCAGTCAAGTCCTCCCTATAAGTCCAGTCACTATGTCCAGCCAAGGCCTTCGATTCCCAATCAATACCAGCCTAGGAATGCAAGAGTCAATATGCCAAGAGTCAATAATTTCAGCCAAGCCCCGAATGCTAAAAAGTTTAATTTTGAGTGTTTTTGTTGTCATGAGTGGGGTCACCCGTGGTATGCTTGTCCTAAGAAGCCTCCTAATTGGGTCCCCCCACCTCAGCTACTATCTGAAAAAGGTAAGGCAGCCATAGCAAA